ATTCCTGGGGACAGGGGCAACACGGCGGGGGTAAGACCCTCAGTGCTGCGGCAGAGGTGCCAGGCGTGTGCGTGCGTGCGTGCGGTGTGTGCGTGCACCTGCCTCTCCTGCCTAGAAGCGCCCGTCAAACAGCGTACAGACACTGATCAGGCCTGCGCGTCGCACTTGAATATTACTGTTACAGCTGAGCCCTGACTTACACTGGGGAGAGAAGACAGAAGACGCTGAGTAACCTGAGTGGGTATCTAGGGAGAGGGTGAGCCAGGCTGAGAGACCAGTGATGGAGAAGCCCGCGGAGTGAGTGCACACCTTGGCACGTTCAAGGGACAGGAGGTAGGCCAGTGTGGTTGGAGTGGAGCGAGGGGGAGGGGAGGGGAAGTCGGCGGGGGCAGGTCAAGGAGGGCCGTGTGTGCCACGATGGGAATGTTGGGTGTCATCTGGGCTGGGAAGGGAAGCTGCGGGCCTTGGGAAGATAGTGAACAGAACTGAATTCTAGTGATTCAAGTTTTAAAAGAATCGCTCTGGATCTTCCCTGGTGACACAGTGGTTAAGAATCTGCCTGCCAATGCAGGGGACACGGGTTCGATCCCTGGTCCGGGAAGACTCCACATGCCAAGGAGCAACTAAGCCTGTGTGCCACAACTACTGAGCCTGCGCTCTAGAGCCCGTGAGCCACAACTACTGAGCCTGCGTGCCATAAGTACTGAAGCCTGCACGCCGAGAGCCCATGCTCCGCAACAAAGAGTAGCCCCAACTTGCCGCAACTAGAAAAAGCCTGCACGCACCAGCAGCCAAAAAAAAAAAAAAAAAAAGAATCACTCCGGCCACCATGTTGAGAGCAGGCCATGAGGTCAAAGGTGAGAGGCTGCTGTATCAGTGCAGGTGAGAGATGCTCATGGACCAGACCAAGGTGGCAGTGGGGGGGGGAGGCTAGTGAGAGGCAGATTCTAGACACAGTTTGAAGGTAGAGCTGATGGGACCTACGGATGCTGTGAATGGGTATGAATGAGAGAGGAGTCAAAGGTGATGGGGGTTTTGCTCCGAGCACCGCTGAGTTTCCTGCAGGTCCCTGAACTCGATGTGCTGCTGCACTCACTGGCTTTGGAGCAGGCTGTTCCCTCTGAGGCGTCTCACCTGCCCCGCGTCCTTTCAGAACCAGCCCCGCTGCTCACCACCCCCAGCTCTTCTCTCTTCCCTGCTCTGCGTGGCTTCTTCCTCAGGGAGCGTCCTCTGTGACCTGCTACTCGTCACTTGATTGACATGGAGCCGACATGGTCTGGCCCAAGGAGCTCTTAAATCCATGCAGGTGGTGATCCGTCATCACTGCAGTTCACTGCTCATCTGTTTGGTACCAGATGCTTTTCTACCAGTTACCTTTACTCCTTCCTACAGTCCTGCAAGGTAGGTATTATTAGCTCTATTTTGCAGATGAGAGAAAGGCTCAGAGAGGCTAACTAACTTGCCCCAGATCACACTGGTGGAAAGTGGCAAAGCTGCCGTCACACTCACGTCTTGTCTGTCTGTCTGTCAGTAGAGCCTGTGGTGTTGATTTCACTGACTTCCCCAGAACAGACTGATCCCCACCCTCCCTGCCCACCCCACCAGCCATCTTCATCTTAGGGAAGAACCACTGGGCTCTTCCACACATGCAACAGGAAGAGAAGAGCACGACGGCGTGTGAGGGGGCGGGGCAGTGGGAAGGCGAGGGCTGACTACTCACTCCTCCAACAGGACCACGTCGGCCAGCACACTGAACACCTGGTAGAGCCCAGAAGCCTCGTTGACGCGCCGGATGATGGCACTGGCCAGCTGTGTGATGGGGTGCTCGGTGGAGGGCCAGGTGACGCCGTGATGACGCTGCTCCAGCAGCCGGTGGACGGCACGCACTGAAATGGCCAGAGGGAGGAGTGGCATGCTGCCCTTGAGATGTTATCTTTCACCTCCGGGGCGGGGGCAGGGTAGGGGGGACGCAGAGCCCCCCAGCTCTGCACTCAGGGCACGCTTGTATTGCGCGGCTCCAAGAAGGTGCCTTTAGAGCCGGGTCCGCACGTGTGTTCTGAAAAGGGCTGGATGGAAAGTGTTTCTGCCTTTGCAGCCCAGACGGTCTCTCTCACTTGACTCAATTCTGCCTCTGGTGGGAAAGCAGCCATAGAGGACTGCGAAATGAACGGGCACGGCTGGATTTGGTCCCCAGGCCCGAGACTGCCCGCTTCTGCTTTACGCATCTGCATGTGGAAGTCCTGCCACTGTCACCTCACGTGTGACGCGTCCAAGCCAGACCCAGAGCCTTCCTCTGCAATCTCTCCCCACCCCACAGTCCCCATGTCTATGGGAGACTCCCAAATGGAAACCCTCTGACTGCTCCCTCTTGTTCACAGCCGAAACCCACATCTGTTACTAAGTTCTACTTTGAGATGCTCTGTGTATTTCTGGAAGGATAGAAAAGCAACAGCTATCTCAAACAACAGGGGGACATTTTCTGTGTACCTGGGCCTGCCCTTACACAGCGGTGACACTGGGGCACCACACACAGGTGCCTGCTTCTGGAAATGAATCAACACAACACCCAAATCCGGTAACAGCGAGGACACAGACAGACAGTTCACGTGATGGGAGACTGGGTCGCCCAACAGTCACAGGAAAGGATGTTCAGCCTCACGAGACAGACAGACAGACATCTGGTTCTCTGGAGGAAACAAGGTTATGCTGCATTTTGTGAAAGGATAAGGAATTACACAGCTCGGGAAGGGTGGGAAGGGGGCCTGACAAAAGAAGCATGGGTGCAAAGACATAAAACCTTGAGAAACTGGCACATTCTGAAAAGGAGGTGAGGGCCAGGCTGGGCAGGCTAGCTGGTGCTGGGCAGGCTAGCTGGTGCACGAAACTCTGGATGCCATGCCGAGGACCTGGCTGGGGAGCCCCTGGAGGTTTTCCTGTCTAAAGAACAGTGTTCTGGTGGGTACCGGAGTGGCTGGATGGGAAGCCAGAGGGACCAATGGCAGGAAGACCAGTCAGGAGAGACCAACAGGTCCCAAGTCAGGCAAGTGAGGCTGGGATGGACTGGAGAGAGACAGGAGGGGGAGGGGCAGGGTTCCCAGCAGGGCCTACCTTCTGAGGTCACCATCTTTCATCTTGCTTTCCTCTGCTTTGCTGTTTTCTACTTGTCTCCCTTGGGGTCCTTTTCTTCAGCTGACTGATGAGCAAGGTTGGGCAGGATGTACTGTGTACAGCCACACTGCCCCTCCCTCTAAGTGGGGTCCCCAGCTAGTAGGGGTGATCATAGCTCTTGGTGGCCTGTCCATCCAGGATTGTTTCCCATTTGCCTGAAGCTTAGTGGTCAGCTGGGAGCCTCAAAGTCAGACAGGTGTGGATTCAAATGCCACCTCTGCCATCCACTGGCTGGGTGACTTTGGGTAAGTGACTTAACTTCTCTGTGCCCCAGTTTCCTTCTACGAAAAATGGAGTTGAAATAACAAGATGTTATTTCTTATGGGGCTATCGGAAGAACTAAGAATGTGAGCTGGGGAAAGATGAGAGGACTGAGGGAAGCAAGAGGGATGGGGCAGTACCTGTCAGGACAGCAGGTGCAGGAAGGGTGACATGCATGGGAATGTGAGGAGGGTTTCTTGCTGGGGACACAGCTGGAGAGACAGACTCTTCCCATTCTGTGTACGTGTGTGTGTTCCATTTGCAAATATTTTGGTAAACAGACAGCTAACATTCTCGGTTTCTTTCCCTGACAACACGCAAAGGGTATAAAACGTATCGCCTGGAAATCAACAGCAAAGCATGATTATCTTTCCCTTTAAACTGGAAGGAGAGTGAAATGCAAAAAGCATTAAGGCAAGTGAGGCATCACATTAAATATAGAAACATCAGGATGAAGGATCCTTATGATGTTTTTTTTTTTTTGCGGTACGCGGGCCTCTCACTGTTGTGGCCTCTCCCGTTGCGGAGCACAGGCTCTGGACGCGCAGGCTCAGCGGCCATGGCTCACGGGCCCAGCCGCTCCGCGGCATGTGGGATCTTCCCGGACCGGGGCACGAACCCGTGTCCCCTGCATCGGCAGGCGGACTCTCAACGACTGCGCCACCAGGGAAGCCCCCTTATGGTGTTTTTATGGTCAAATTAACTGGCCCATGTAACACTCGTCATGCAATAAAGCACCCATCCAATGGGCTACCCAGAGCGCAGAAAATTGGTACCCTTAGTACTCAGAGTTTTGAAAAAGAGCTAATATAATCTAGTTGCGACTTTTATTGAAATTTGTTGGTACCCAGAGAGTCTATGTGTACGTAATGCTTCACAGCTCCACGGTCTCCAGATATTACCTTATGTAGTCCTTACAACAGCTCTATGGGGTGAAGAATTCACCTCATTTACAACTCTGACACCTGGGAGGGCCAAGAGAGGCTTAGGGAGGTTATGAAGCCTCACCCCTGAGACCACGCAGCTGCTTGCCCAGGTTAGCAGTCCCAAGCTCAGCATCCTTGCCAATCACGGTGATGCGGGTAACACGCCACCCCCGGATGTACTTACTTTTACACCTTATCTGGTACTTCTCTAGATGTGTCCTCAGACCACGAAAACCCACGGCTGCCTGCCCCACAGGGAATTTATGACAATCAACTGCTGTTAAGGCTGCTTTAAGGGAATCAGGCGTCTCTTTACAAACCCTGGGGACAGCGGCCTTCTCTGCCGGGCTCACCTGTGTATCGGAATCCATGGATGAAGCCCCCAGCAGATTTCCGGTAATCCACGGAGTGGCTGGCAGTCCCCAGGACAAAGAGGCCCCGGCTCCCTTTGGACTCATAGCTGGCTTTGACCAGGGGGTACTTCTTGCTGAGCTCACCCCCTGCAGAGAGTCGGAGGGACCTGTGAGTGGAAAGGGCTGTGAATAAAAATCGCTGCTATGTATGAAATGCTTTTTACAGGCTTGGCACTGAGCTAAGTGCTTACATTCC